AGAGAGAGAGAAAGAAAGAGAGAGAGAGAGAGAGAGAGAGAGAGAGAGAGAGAGAGAGAGCCCCGTCCACCTCGCGTAACTTCCTAGTGTATGATTCACAATAACTTAATTCTCCCCATGCAGTCGTCATCGACGTCGTCTATCGTCGTCGCTTGATTTCCGCATTCGCGGGCAATTAACACCTGCGTCGCGATTCTAGAGAAACAATATACAGCATCGGGGGGTTTTTTTTTTCTATTGACACCAGCTGAGGTCTGATTAAGCCGAGTCCCCCGACCAATGCCGGAAAGTGTCGATGAAAGAATTTCGACGATGAGAAATATTACAAAAAAACGAACTCTAGAAAAAATTCAAATGCGCCATCCGGGAATCCGTTTTGTTAATCTTGGAATACTGCATCATGAGATAGTTAAAAATAATTTCTCTAACTCCAAACATCCTAATGCGAGGAAATTATTGAATACATTCAAAATAAAAAATATCAAACAATCTTACGAGGAAATCGTGATTGAGGGAATAAATCAGTCTTCGAAAAACCATGTGTAAAAATACTGCCCTTATTTCATGACTTCAACGGCGCTCTATTTTTTTTTTGTGAATTATCTTAAAGCGACTCTATAGTTGATATTGATTTGTGCCGAGTCCATCCGACGTGAAATGAATAAATGTTCATAAAGTTGAAAGGCGATAAAATTGAGAAATGCTCGTCGTTGATAACTCAATTCGCCCAAGAGTTGAAAAAAAGTCGTTTGCATATAGATCTTCGAACATTCTTCGATATTCGAACATTTTTCTTTCCAGTAGACTGCCACCAAGCGTGCATATACTGTACAACAGAGTTCCAAAATCCGATTTTCTCAGAAATTCAAATACACCGGGCAGAGTATTCTGCAAATCTTGAAACACAAAATTTTTTACTCATTCAGAAATACACGTTAATGTCAAGAATTAACGCAGGAAAATGTTTGCACCGTTTTCGACTCGTTTGCGCCGTCATTCAAAAATTCGATTCAAAAATACCCTTAAATTGTCAGGGATTGAGGTTCACCTGGAGAGAACAGAGAGCGCAGCACCGAGTCTCCGTATAAATAAATTAAAAAAAAAAGGACGACGCAACTTCGGGCGAGGGAAAAGGCGCCCGTCGCTGACAACGCGGACCGTGTTCGTTATCAATCACGGCGTCCCGCGCGTCAAGGTCGACGCCATTCGTCCCCGCTTTCGACGGCGACAGTGTCGACGATGCGGAGCACTTCCGACCCCAGGTAGACCCCAATCGCGATTATATTTGCACTCGATTTTTTCTTCTCTACACATCCGACAAGCAAAGCAAGGTTTGGAGTCGCAAAAGCCAAAACTAATGGCAATTCCCCAGTAATCATCATATACGAAAGTACTGAATTAAAATACGCCGTGAAAAGTTTAATCGAGGTTTTATAAAATTACCCTCAAAAGGGTCCTTTAAGTTCCTTTAATATGGGGTAGTTCTCAAAGTGGATTTTCGTCCTTTTCGTGTGCAGTTTATCTCAGATGTTGTACCGTATTCGAATCTCAGCCTATCGAATCTGAATTTACATTCAGTCTCAAATTGTTCCCGGAAATTCCGCAGAAATCAGCGGGAAGCGTAAGATTTTTGTGGATAAGTCAAGATTTATTAAACATGCATACGATCCCCAATATTTCGATGATAA